GACGAGTAAAGAGGGTCGAGGAAAGCAACTCTGAGAATAACTCAGAGGAGTCGGAACAGGAAGAATCAGAATCTGAATCATCAGAATCTGAAGAAGCATCTGAGCAAGAAACGGTTGTTCACAGGGTACGAAGAACTCGCCCTGTTAAAGCCAAAACAGTTCAGAGAACCAAGGACGAATCCAGTGATTCAGAAGAAGAATCATACGTGGTTCGAAGGTTCATCCCAAAAGAAGAACTTGCCAGAATACGATGGGAAGATGCACTCAAAATGCGAGGAGACTGTATTCAGAAACGTAACATGACGATGCCCCATCTCGATGATCTTCTGGAATTCGGAGACAATCCAGGTAGATATGAATATGCACGCCGATATCCACCACCCATGAAAAAAGACGATCCAGAGGGTTTTGGAATTGGGTGCGCGTTGGGATCTTGTGGCACCCAGATAAAGAAACGGTCTCCGAGGAAGTAATCATATGAGGCGATATCAAACAAGGAAGCGAAATATACCTCAATATCATTTTCCAAGATTACGATGGCACAAGAACCCGAAGTATTCCAGCAAGAGCCTTAGTCAATTCTGGAGCAAAAGGAATGTTCATCAATGAATCGTTCGTGAAGAAAGTAGGACTCCACCTTCTCAAATCACAAAAGGAAGTCAAGATTCGCAGTGTCGATGGAAGTCCCATCAACTCTACAAACCAATGATTCAAAGGAACTGTTCATGCAGGAATGTACGAATGGAATGATGACTTCCTTGTCATCGACTTAGGAAAAGAAGACGTGGTCATTGGCAATATGTGGCTTCATGATCACAACCCGATTATCAATTGGCAAACGGGTGAAGTCAAGGTCCGTCAATATATAGAAGATGTACCGGACGAGGAACCATGGCCTTTCAAAGATAAAAACGCTGTTCGTCTTCCAATCACCAAAAAGGAGAAAGCCAAAGCCAAGCGAACCTTAAGAAGGATCGACTGGTCTGATGTCGATCCCATACTGGATGAAGCAGGAACCGTTGATTCGGATCTCTTGCTTGCATACGTAAAAGGGGCACCATACTTGAAGGATCAGGAAATAGGAGAAAAAGAAGCCATTTTCACCTACCAACCTGATACCGGCTTACTTCAAGAAGTCACATTCGAAGAGAAAGAACATCACTCTGCTGGAGAAAGGAAAATGCAGTACCTTGCACTGCGATGAACGAATCAAACATCAGTCAAGAAATGACTATGTTACCAGTGCAGAAAGCCGGGACATGAAGCAAATCAATGTCCAATGATGACCTCCAAAAAGGACCATCAAAAGATGCAGAAGGAAGGTGATACCTTCTGGAAGGCATCAAACAAGGTGCAGGAACTCACGCAAAAGAAAGTACTCAAAGAAAAGAAGAACTCAAAGAAAAAAGTAACGATATCATCGTATCTTCTCAAGTACAAGCAGATTTTTGAAGAAAAGGCATCAGAATGGTTACCACCGCATAGATCTTACGATCACAACATAGACTTCAAGCCGGACTTTGTTCCTAAATGAGGAAAGGTCTATAACCTATCAAAGCCAGAAGAAGAAGCTATGAATGCCTTTATCGACGAAAACCTTGCGAAAGGATATATTCGTCCTTCGCAATCTGTGATGGCATCACCTTTCTTCTTTGTAGAAAAGAAAGACGGCGGGCTACGTCCATGTCAGGACTACCACTATGCGAATGAAGGAATGATAAGGATGCCTATCCACTTCCGCTTATATCGGACCTAATAGATTGACTCCGCCATGCCAAGTATTTCGCGAAGCTTGACATTCGTGGAGCATATACCAATGTCTGAATTCATCAGGGAGATGAGTGGAAGGCTGCCTTCATCACAAAGCGTGGATTGTTCGAACCCACAGTCATGTTCTTCGGAATGTGCAATGCACCGGCAACCTTTCAACGAATGATGAAAGAAATATTGGCAGAAGAAATTGCTGAAGGATGGCTACTATGCTATCTGGATGACATCCTCATCCTTGCCGAAAGCGAAAAGGAGTTGGAAAAGAAGCTTGAACGAGTCATTAAGAAAATGGTCAATAATGACCTCTATCTCAAGCTGGAGAAATGTGTGTTCAAGACTACGTGCACTGACTTCCTAGGACTGGTTCTCCTCTCAGGACAACTTCAGATGGATCCAGCAAAAGTCAATGGGATCATCAAATGGGAAGCCCCGACTGGCGTAAAAGGAGTGCGAGCATTTCTAGGATTTGCCAACTTCTATCGAAAGTTCATCTGGAACTATTCTGAGATTACAAGACCCTTAATTGATCTTACCAAGATCAAGGGCAGGAATGTGTTCCATTGGACAAGCAAAGAACAAGCCGCTTTTGACTATCTCAAAAACGAGTTCGGCAAGGCACCAATACTGGTTATGCCAGACAAAGACAAGTCTTTTGTCATCGAAACGGATGCATCGGACTTCGCTACAGGAGCAGTCCTCATGCAGAAGAACGATAATGGCGACCTTCATGCCTGCGCATATTATTCCAAGTCGCTCTCCAATCCAGAACAAAATTATCAAATCTATGACAAGGAGCTGCTAGGAATCATCCGAGCACTTAAAGAATGGAGACACTATCTCGACGGAACAAAGGAGCCATTCCTCATATGCACAGATCACAAGAATCTGATGTACTTCAGGCAACCGCAGGACTTGAACCCAAGACAGCGAAGGTGGCAACTCTTCTTGTCTATGTTCAATTACAAGATTGTCCATATGCCAGGGCGACAAATGGTGCAAGCGGACGCGCTTTCACAATTGTCCAAATTAGACAATCACCAGGACAACAAGTCACCTGCAATCCTGCTGCCCGACAATCTCTTTATTGGTGCTATCGATACAGATATGGCGGAACAAATCTGACAAGCACTAATAAAAGACCCATCGGTACTTGCGTATAAGGACGGCCTAATGGAAGAACTTCCAGTTCCACGAGGAATGACAAAGGACGACATCAAGGACACTGACAATGGTTTAATCACCATCCATGGACGTGTATATGTCCTGAACAATACAACCTTAAAGAAGGAAATTGTTCGGCAATACCATGAGGCCACTCCCCATGGTCATCCAGGAATTTGGGTAATGCACCAACTAGTGCACAACGACTTCTGGTGGCCAGGGATGTATCACTTCATCCAAAGCTATGTCAATGGATGTGCCATCTGCCAGCAATCCAAAGCTGTGCGAAACAAGGTCAAAGTTCCACTACAGCCCATCGGCCCTTCGCCCAATGCCCTACCTTTCAAGCAAGTCAGCGTGGATTTTATTACAGATCTACCAAAAAGCGAAGGCTTCGATTCAATAATGGTCGTGGTAGACCATGGGCTTAGTAAGGGGGTAATTCTATGTCCCTGCAAGAAGACGATCACTGCTTCGGAAACCACCGAGCTATTCAGATGACAAGTTTGGAAACGCTTTGGGCTACCTGACAAGATCATCTCTGACCGTGGAACACAATTCGCATCCAAAGTATTTCAAGCATTTTGCACTGCTCTCAAAATTAAGTCAGCCATGAGCACAGCCTATCATCCACAGACGGATGGTGAAACGGAACGAATGAATCAAGTATTGGAAACCTATCTTCGAATGTATTGTGCCAAGCAACTGCATTGATGGAATCAATTCTTATCCGAAGCAGAGTTCGCGCACAATCTCCATACTCATTCAGTGATGAAGAAGTCACCATTTGAAATATGGTATGGCTACGAACTCCAAGGAATGCCAGAACTGTTTCCTCAGGATGAGATTCCCGACGTGGATGCAAGACTCAAGCTTCTCAGCATGGTCTGCAAGGAGGCCACAGATGGAATTGTCAAGACAAAAGCCCATGTAGCCACCAGAATCAAAGGAGGATCTCTGACGTTCAAAAAAGGAGACAAGGTTTGGCTGGAAGCCACCAATTTGAAAAGGCCTTACAAATCAAACAAGCTAGCGCTGAAGCGAGAAGGACCATTCAGGATCAAGGAGGTTCTGGGACTGCTCTCATTCAAGTTAGACCTTCCTGCGACATGGAAGATCCACCCAGTGTTCCATGCTGCATTGCTTATGCCATATCGGCAGACCAATACACATGGAGAAAGTTATTCAACACTGCCTCCAGATCTTATCGAAGGAGAGGAAGAATTTGAAATCGAGTCTATAATTGGACACTGACTACAGCGCAGCAAGAATGAATATCTGGTAAAATGGGCTGGATATCCACTCAGCGAAAGATCGTGGGTAAAAGAGACAGAAATGGGCAATGCAGGAGAGCTGCTGAACAAGTATAAAAGGGAGCACAACTTGGCCTGAACCCTCAGTCCATGCCCCAATGCCCGTGCAACATCCCGAGTTTCTCGAATCTGCTATCACCACTTTTACCCATCTTATCGAAGTTCTCGAAGACGTCGAATCCCACTCCTCCCACGACCATCGCTACCAGGTCTTTCAACAACTCGGAGTCTATCTCGCTATCAGAGGGGCTGGATTCGCCATCGAGGATCTTGCCGACTTCGACCATACCAACGTTGAGTTCAACATGACCCATCCAAACCATGATGGACCATCTCATCCAGAGAGCAGATGACGTCCACAAAGTCCACCTCCTGGAAGACTTCAGGTCAACTCAACGACAGCCATATCTAATCCCTCGCCCCAGCGGGTTAATCAGAATCCCTTATCTGTTTCCATTCCAAACAGACAAACTGAAGGTAACACTAGAGGACGACGTTGATATCGACCCAGACAGAACATGGAGAACGTTCATGAGAATGAATTACCCAATGTACCTAACAGAGGAACTCCACCTGCCCCGGCTAGAGCCAGATTGATGCCGGACTATCCTAACAGCCGTCTATGCCAGGCTTCCAGTGGGAATCCTCCCACCGTCGTATGCTCTAGATCATCCGCTACACTTTGATATCTTACCGGCAGCACTCTCATTCACTCTGGATGTATTCAGCATCATACACGGTACCGTATCAAGGACAATGACAATACCAGTGGAAGAACGTACAGGAATGGTGAACATTCACATCACGGACTGGTATGAAGAAGAAGAATGGCTGCTCGAAGGTATAAGTAGTGGCCCTCCTTTTCCTCTACTAGACCATCGCCTCCTCCTACTCAAGTGGGAACTCTACGAGGAAATCTATCCTTGGGATAAAGAAAACTGCCCCGCTCTACCACCTCCACCAATGTCGCTCAACATCTGTGTCACCACCACCACTACTCATAGCACATTGGAGCCAGGACTACTCCTCGATAGCAATGGAGATGAACTCCCGCTTCTGAACAACCTTAGTGACGAAGCACTGGCTGCCTCATGGAGGAGTGCATGGTGGGGAGACGATGAAGATGAGACAGGTCGTTGGACGATGGGAGGGTCTTGGATGATGGGGAGAGCTTGGGGTGAAGCCGATGAACAGGCAAGGAATGCCGACGATGAATGACCTGGCTACCCCCACCACGACAGCGCTATATACCCCTACAATGATGCACCTGAGGACGGATCACAATCCGCACCGGCTGACACCATCAAGGAGCAGATCAGATATGCTCGAACAGTCAAGTCCTCGAGCAACCCAGCAGCAGGACAGGTATCGCTCATCGCCCCAGACGTAGCATCGCCCTACAATGTCTTCATTGCCACACCACTAACATTCCTCATGGAATGCGATGGCCATCATCTCTACATCCATCATATGGGCGCAGGCAACTTCGCCACCTTCCATGCCTTTGTCTTTACTTGGGACAATCAGAAGGTCACATGGCACCTCTATTCGGAGGACTCGCCTCATCGTGTCTTCAGTCGATGGGTCACTCTTCTCTATCCGCCACCCATTCCAGGCATGCACGACTGGCATCCAACACTCAACCGGATGTGCATCATCAGTGTTCACTTCACGGGCAAGGAAGAAGGCATCGAGCAATACGAGGTCGAACTCTTCAGGACGTTCTCCGATCAAGTCCACTATGGAGACACCAAGACACCTCGTGAGTTCACGCTGGTCATCTTTCAACCCCTCGTTGCCATAATCGAGTGGCCTGGATGGCTTACCGACAGTGTCGAAGCACTGAAGGCGGTCCTCTATGAAGATGGATCCATCTCGCACTGGACACCCACCGAGTTCCATCCTCAGCCCCAAGAGGATCTTGACGATGGCTGAGAGGTCATACTCCACACCACCATCCCAGTCTATGATCGCGTAGGTGTCCGCAGAGGATGATGATGGGTTAGTTTGGTGAGTTGTCGTCAAGGGTCTTGCCGGTTGGAAGGGGGAGCTTGTGTTACAGTTTCAGCACTTCATGGTCACGTGACAGTTTACGTTGCACGTGACACTTACTATTTATGGTTCATAGGTCTTGTGGACATATTCTAGGGTTAGCA